AAACTTTTGATTGACGAGTGGTATAAAATGCCTATTGAAACAATTCAGAAACCATACGATTCAATTCCCAGGCGAGTGCAAGGCTAGTCCTTGCTTCCGAAAAAATCTTTCTCAATATTATTATTGAATTTTCATCGGTGTATACGAAACTTTTCATATCTTTTCATATCGTCACATCTTGCATGTTGACAAAAAGTAATGAAAAAAGTTCATATAAAGCCTACTGATCGTATGCCACAGTTTGGCGTAAAAATGCAATTGTCGCCTACTGCAGGTTTTCCGGTGGTTCCTAGGCGGCCAATGTAATTAATGATCCAATTAGAACTTTATAGAAAGCCTACTGATGCAAAACCATGCAAAAAAAAAGTCGCACGGCATGTTTTGGCGTAAAAATATAATTTTCCCTACTTAAGGTTTCCTGGGGGCATTCCAGTTGTTCCGATAGTGGCCAATGCAATCAATGATACATTTAAAGTCTATAGAAAGCCTACGGATGAAAAACCACGAAAAAAGAGGTGTCGTACGGCATGTTTTGGTGTAATAATGGAATTGTGCCTTACACACCTAGATTTTTTGCCGAGATGGGCACCACCACCACAGCAATCTATTTTCCTGGATCTCAGTGAAAAATTTGCTGAGATTCAGTTAACAAACGGGAATTTTGCCGAGATCTTGGTTAACAAACATAAATTTTGCCGAGATCTTGGTTAACAAACATAAATTTTGCTGAGATCTCAAAATGAAATTGTTGTGAAAATGAAATTGTCCCCTACTACAGGTACCCTCGAGGGCACTCTTATGGTTTCGGAAGTGACAAATGGGGTCAATGATGCATTTAAAATCTAAATAAAGCCTATTTGTAAAACAAAACCACGACATGTTTAGGTGTAAAAATGAATTTGCCGCCTAGCATAGGTTCCTCCGGGGGCACTCTGGTGGTTCCCCCAGGGGCACTCTGGTGGTTCCAGAAGTGGCCAATGTGGTCAATGATCCATTTTAAGTCTAAAGAAAGCCTATTCGTAAAAAATCATGAATAATATCAAAATATTTTGGCGTAAAAATGAATTTGTCGCCTAGGTTCCCCTAGGTCGCCTAGTATAGGAAGAGGCCAACGTGGTCAATGATCCATTTAAAGTCTATTTAAAGCTTAATGGTAATAAAAAAAAAACATGAAGAAAGAGGTGTCACATGGCATGTTTGGAATGGAATTTTATCTTACAATAATTTCACATAACCGTAGTAAATCCAAATATTTTCTCATTCATCTTCAAGATGGATGTTTAAAGCATACTTTGGTGCAATAAGCGCATGGGCTTCGTAGAACATTAGAAAAGATTTTCACGTAGAAAAATTCATGTAAATTTAGGTGCTCTGAGGCTGACAATGACGAGCGTCAATTTTTACGTAAAATTGAGTCATAATAGACGTGAAATTCAGCTCAATCAATCTTACCTTTCATGGAGTAACGGACTTTTTAGTCTCTGAGCGCTTAATTTTATATGGCATCTTTGATAACGTCTCATCGTTTATGTCACATGATAGACAGTGCAACATTTTCAAGGTCATCAAATATAAACAAAATTTGGACTTCAGTTCTTGTAAGTACTCACCCAGACTAGCAAAACCCTATTTGGGTTATGAGAATTTAGTTCGAAATTTTGATTTATGTCATCAATAGTTTTGCGCACGCTTTGGTTTTGCACGGCTATATCTCGTAAACTATTTGGTATTTCTCAATGCAGTTTTCTGACGAAATATTCTTCACAGCAAAATACAAAACTTTTGCGAACATGTCAAGGCCAGAATTTTACTTTTCGTCAGAATACTGCATTAAAAAATACCAACTAATTTGCGAGATTTAGCCGTGCAACACCAAAAGGCGGTCAAAAATATTGATGATGGCATAAATCAAAATTTCGAAATAAATTCTCAAAACCCTAATAGGGTTTTGCTAGTTTGGGTGAGAACTTGCAGAAACTGAAGCCCTAACTTTGTTTACATAGGGTTAACTACCCCATTTCCGGCCTATTAAGCATAACCCGCACTTAGTCTTTCTTAATCTAGTTCAGTTTAGCACCAAACGAAATGTTATTATTACTGATGGCTTCCAAATTTATTTACCTTTACGTACAAACCGTAAGATTTGAAAACGAGAAACCAATCGTTGATATATTGTCATAAGTCCAACACTGCTTCTTGACGCCAAACTCGGCCTACAGATTTTAAACTCGGCTTAACGCATTGAAACGCAATTGAAACGCCATTGAATTTACTTCGGCCTATCGGATGAAGATAAAAATTGATTCGTTTGGAGCGTTTCTTTTGTTTTTGGGAATAATGGGTGCAAACCTTCATACCACACGTTCGCATTGACTTCGTTCGGTAGCTTATTAACTAAAGTATCGTACCAAGCGCATAATTGACTTGTTAACTCTGAAATCATGGATTTATTTGAAGTTTTCTGCTCGATAGGCCCAAAATGGGCGATTAGGCCGAAGTAGTTCTCTACCCTATTTTGTGTTGCACTGTGTTAGTTATTTCAAAGTGTGTAGAGCAAGATATAATATAATGTTATGGGATAAATTATGTCTTCAGCAATGTATTTTCCCTCATCATATTCGGCCTTTCAACCATTTAAAAATTGATCAGTCTTGTTTTATGTTGACAAACTTTTATGTTTAAATTATCATCTTTTTATGCTTGTTTTTGTTTCCGTTGTCAACCTCAATCCAGCAAATATTTGTTTTAAAATAGCCATAATGTTGGTTGTTTGATTTTGACAGCTGAGAAAACTTAGTTAAACGTTGTTTTACCTATTAATGCTACTACTACTATTGTCTCACTTTCACTAATAAATTTATAAAAGCTATAACAGATACGTATTTCGTTTAATGCTTGCAAACTTCTTCAAAGTCTTGTCATAGACTTAGTCACCGAAGAAGTTTGCTAGTAGTAAACGAAATACGTATCATAAGTAGAATTAAAAGAAAAAGTCAAAATAATAAGGTATTCAATCATTCTACTTAAACGCTAATCTGTCAATTTAGATAAAATATACAGTTTGTTCTTAACAAATGTAGGTTTAAATCAACTTTCTTGTTGGTTGAAATAAACTACAAAATGTTAGAAATAATCAAAGTTCTTGGATGAATAATCCAACTTGTTTGTTAAAATGAAATGAGGAAGTTTCCTGCAGTTGCTTCACACCATCAAGTGCATTATTAGATTAGTACGTTCATATGTTGTTGATGTTCCTCATGATGGTAAACAAAATAAAGTGTTAAAAATTAAGCAAAAAATAATGACTCCGGGCAGAACAAAACACTTATTTTGGAACGGAAACACATTTCAAATATTCTGAGAGAATCTGAGCGTTAGTTTCCGTAAGTTGGTTATGATTGTCTCCCCAAACTAATTCTTCTGTATCATAATGGCCTTGGGAACGGTTGGATTCGTACTCCGTAGTTCGTGCCATCACAGTGTATCGCCTGAAAGCGATAAAATTTCCGCGTTCGACGAATTTGTCGGGCACCATTTTTTTTTTCTTTACCCGATGTATATATTTTTTAACTGACAGGTTTTACATGCATTACAAGTAAATTATAAATTATAAATTAACGCAACTTTCGTGTTATTCACACACATATTAATTTAGTTTGTTTTAACCTAAATTTCGTGTTGATTCATCTTAAGCTTTGCTGAACACTTAATATGACCTCCACTTAGGCAAGATTTTTGGTTTTTATTATGGTCTTTAAGTCCATTCAAAACCTAATAAGCCGCTTTAAAACTATGTTATAAAAGAATATAATGGGGTTTGTTTTAAAACTCTGGACACTACCGTGGGAGAACTTTGAACATGTCTGGTGGTGTCTGTAGTATGGTATGTCTATGGTCGGGGCCTGGGAGGAAGATCCAGACTCGAAAAATATGAACGTCAGATCGAGCCAAATACAAACTGTCATGAACTTCATCGCGAGCTAAACAGTTGGTTGATGCATTTCTTATAATTGAAGAATATAGAAGGCGGTATTGATAGCTTGCGTAAAGTATAAGGTGTCCCAGAATGTCTAAACACGACTTTGGAACACCCCTGCTTATTTCAGATGACGTTTAAACAGCTAATTATCACGCTGAATCATTGATTACATTTCGAACAACAGTTTCGTGTATCGCAAGTATCGGTTTTTTTTTTTGCATTTCCGTGACAATGCGAAGCATTTTTCCGGAAAAGCGCAAACAGATTGTGCACAAATTGTGTACTATCCCCAACACTTCTCTGAATCAATTTGGCCAAGCTTTGGAGCGCCAAATTTGGGTGACATAATTAATGGACCATCCCTAATATACATATTTAGTATATACCAATAACTAGTATTCCTAGATTTTTTTTTATTTGACGATAATTCCCATTTTTGCAGATAAAGAAATTTTTCTAATTGACATGCTCTCCTTTGCTTCCTAGAGATTTATTTGTTCATGTTCATTTTATTATGATTTTCGTACTCTACGCACCTATTCAGCTATACGCACGCGAAAAGAAGGCACGTCCGAAATGGTACGAGCTGTCTGGTGATGTCTCGTAATATCTTTGACATTACCACCACACGTTTCGTTCGGATTCTAGTCGAGAAAAGAATGCAGCATCACCAGTGAAAGTGAACCGATCCGAAGAAAGGGTGGGCGCGTCGGCTTGATGGCATGAACTGGTATGAATATTGATGGAGGGTGAAATCGAGAGAGGGAGCAGCGTATTGTAATGATATTTAAAAAAGATCATGGAGACGGATGTCCTTGAAAATCCTCTTGGGATAATGAACAACTTCATTAGTGTTGGAGACAGTAGGCAACCCCTCCCCCATTTTTTTTTTTGTATATGGAGTTTCGACAAAGGTTCATTACATCACATAAATGCCAATGATAATTTAAGATTAATAAATCAATAATCATTTATATATATTCAGAAATAAAGAAGATTAAATTGAAAGAATGCTCCTTACCTTCTAAGATTTTATTATTTGCTAGTGGCTTGAGTGTATTTATCGCGAAACAAATTCAAAAAATCACTTATGGAAAGATTAGTAAATATAGGTTATTGGAAAATCACAATCTTATCCACTGTTTTACCCGGAGAAAAGCTTAGGATGCTGACTCCAGATGAGTTTACAACGAACTGATAAGATATGCTGATATGCTCCGGTTGATATTGGGGGGAGTACTACAGCTTGATACAGTGCTTCACGAAAAATCTTTGGATATCATTCATATGATATATACCAAGTAACAATTTTGGTTTTATGAGGGTTCTGCAGACCATGATTTAGACTTGTAGAATACTTTAAAAAGTCAATAAAACTTGCAATATTACTTGGGATATGCAGGCGCATTTTCCCTTCAGATGTTTCTTAATACCTTGTAACTGTTAACAGTAGGTGAACTGGCCCAACAGGTTGCAGTCCATTTTTCTCATAAACCAATAGTTTTGAATGGTATAATAATTGTAATCATCACTTTACTCCCTTACTATTACACATTGTATGTCCTGTGAGATAAAAGAGAATACGCCTGGTATGTATACAATCATTTGTACGCATGTCACGCGTACGCGAGTGGTGGTAGTTGGATTGTGGTGCGACAAGTGAGCATTATTTTCTCATGGTTTTCGTTTTTCTCATACCTCACAACATAGAAGTTTCCACAATAAAAGCTGACATTCAACAGGTTGGAAGCATGAATGTAAGTGTATAAATCGTATTTGATGCAATATACGTATTTGATTAAACTAGATAGAATATAAAACTCTCTATCTCGATTTGGGCAATACCTTCATATTTTCATAAATTGTTCTCTTCACATCGAAGAACAAGTCTTGTTCACAACTTCACAATCAAGATTGAACATTTTTCTTAATCCGCTGATCTTTTGAAAATGATTCCGTCGTGCGACTTCCGCAATGTACAACCGCATGTAAGATGTGATGAATAGCATCATGAGCATAGCTCAGCCAAACTGGCTTCATTTTCACTGAATTTTTTCATTAGAATAGCAAGTTAATAATGCTAAAATAATTTTTTCATGCCACCCTATGTTGATGTTTTTTTCAATATTGAGATAAGCAGAATTGCCAGCAAATAACATCAGCATCCATTCATGATTTAAAATTCATCAATTACTATTCTGATGTAAATTATTACGTTTCAAAAATATCACCGATCATGCTATTGTTCAATACTTTAGAGTAAAATATTAACATTTGCAGTAAATTTACTTTGAAGTCATAGTTATTATTTGATTAGAACGAAACGGTTTGGCGAGTAGCTGTTTAGTAGTGTAGTTGAGAAGTGCAACATTTTGGGCTTCTCACATCATTAACAATTATATTTTAAGGTTACTTTGCATTTTTTCAGTTACAGTACAAGAAATATAAAAACATCAGGCAAAAACTTGATTACATCTTGGTACAATGTGTCAGAAGCTAACGTTAACCGCTAACAACTAACTATTTTCAAACTAACTTACTATCGGGAATTTTATTATGCAAAATTAATTTATTATTCAAAAATATTTTATTTATCATATCTCAAAACACAGATATGTCCAATTTCTCAAATAGAGGAATATCATTTTTCGTGAATAAAATTTTATCAATGAGAATATATTTCTGAAAACTAAGATAACTTTACTAACAATCTGTAAATTTTACCGAAATCTCAACAGCTGAACATTCGGTAATTAGTTCAGTGTCTTTTTTTAGTTACAGAAAAATCTGTAAATATCAAAAAAGGAATTTGTCCGACTGCCCGAATCGTTTGGTATTTTTTCAAACAAATATGTTTTAAAAATTGCTATTGGATTGAATTTAATATTACTGCAACAGTATGTACTTGTTAACGGATAATATATAAGACGAATGTGTATGTTTGTGTGTTACAATATTTGAGACGTGTTTCTCGGCAACCACTCAACCAAACTGGACGCAACAACCACCAAATGAAAGGTACCATGGTTCCAAAGACCGCTATTGAATATTTTTTGTATCGGTCAACTGATTCCGGAGATATAGACGAAACATGTTCTGGTGAATACGGGTCTATTATCGGCCTGACTCATGTTACTGACCATGTAAGATATCATTGATTAATAGCTTTCCTGGTGAAAGTATTTTAGTAGCGCAACATTAAGTTAATAGGAAACATTTCACAAGTAGCAATGTTGGCTTTAATAGGGTTCTGTAGACCAAGATTAAGACTTGTAGAATGCTTTAAAATCCCTATAAAACTTACAATGATACTTGGGTTCATGTTTATTCAATTCAGCTGCTTAAAATTGTGTTCCATTTGGTAAGTTTTCCAGTAGACTTATTTCTGACACACAAGGAATCAATTTTGACGTACACCTTCTCGAAAATCGACAGGTTTACAACAGAGGGATTATCGAGCATTATAATTTATTTTCAAAGCGTCAATTTTAAGTAAATATTTACCAAATGGAACACAGCCTAAGTGAGACGCTTTCTTAGTTGGTGGTTTTCTCGTCTGGCTGCTTTTTAGTTGGCAGCTTGTTAATTGGGTGTCGTTCCAATTTAAAAGTACTTATCTCGTGTTTCAAACTAGCCTTGACATTTCGTTGCTGTTATTTGCGAATAATCTAATGAGCTGTGTTGAATGAAAACCAACGGTTCGACAGCTGAAAATCTATCCCAACGAGCGAATGGCATTCATTAGATGGCATACGATTGTGTCCCAACCAACTAATGATGACTGTACTGCATTTTTTCACTATATTTTATGATTTTATATTGCCGCCAAAACCTAGTTCATTTTATCAACCTGCGCTAATTTGCTAGCGTTGAGTGTGATGATTTTGATAAAAATTTGCCGCATTGAAGACGTTATCTCAACCACGACGGAAGGACGGTCACCGTGACCGTACTTTGAAAAGCGTACCGCTTGTCCTTTGAAAGATACTGTTTTGAGTTTCGCTTTTCCTCTTATGAAAATTCTGGAACAACAACGAACATTAAATACATATTGTGAGGTAAAATCATTAACATTTTTAAAGCGTTTGTCGAACTTATTTGTACCTTTATTTCAGTAGAATGTTGAATTACTAGAACCCTTCAACGCCATTAGGAAACAAGTGAGGATGAGTACATTTGGCTCATTATGCAGGTGTTGGTGTTTGAGCTACCAGCCACCGTCACCACTAGACTGATGCAAAATTTGAAATTTTCGCTCCACAGTGTTCAAACCTTTACAAATCGGGTCCTGATAAGCCTCCAAAAGTTTAAACTCATTTGATAAAAAACTGACTTGGCACAAACCATTTGAAGTTTATATGGATATTACTATGGGAAAACCAAACTTTTTTTTTATTGTCTTCTAGACTTTTTCCATATTGTACTGTTAACAAGTTCTATTGCTATTCTTATTGGAATTTTTTTCAGCTACAACTTTGCACAAAATCGGTCTTCAGCCAAACGTCAAATTAAATTGTTATTAATTGTTTAAGAGATAGATAATCTTATGGCAAGATTAAGCAACAGTATTTTAGGCAACACTGTATTCTGTAGTGTGACATAGTAGTTTATCCATAGTAATTCCCATATAAACTTCAAATGGTTTGCGCTAAGTCAGTTTCTTACTAAATGAGTTCAAATTTTGGGAGGTTCATCAGGGCCCAATTTGGAACCGTTTGAGCACTGTGGAGCGAAAATTTTAAATTTTGCATCAGTCTAGTCACCACCCACATGCAGCAAAAATCATCCTGTAGCCTTTGCTCCGTGCTGTAAATATTAAATTAGACATAAATAAAATTAGCACGAAATATATCAAATCCATACGCCAAAATCTATGCCAGTAGCGAAACGACACTAGCTGATTTACGTTAAAATTGGAATGCCTCGCGAGTAACGCCACTCGACCTTGCGTAGTTTCTCCCAAGGCCGAGTCCAGGGAAACCTTCGGGAAAGTTGGGGAAAGAGAGAGAGTGGCTACACCCGACTTTGAACAAGTGGCCAACGATCAGAATAATCTCTCGCATTACCGATCTCATTCGAAGAAGTTCGCGGGAAAATCGAACTTCCGTTAAGTTCGGCCGAGGTCACCTTCCCTAATCTGAGGGTCACGGTTTCGCTTCACTTTCGTCCGAACCGCAGTTTACAGTGGAAGTGTGTCGTTTTGTTCGCGTTAATGTATAGTTTTGTATAGTGAGTGAAAACAACGTGGTTTTACTTGTACTTAAAATTCTAATTTATCGTTGATTGTTTAGTTATAGCAAATCATAAGCTAAATGTAGTGTGCGGCATAGGTTAGATAGAAAACCAATTTAGGCCAGGTAATGTGCTCGTCGAACAACATTTGTGCTTTGTGCTTTGTGCTTAATATTAATTTCAACAGCCGACGACTACATCCAACTTCCTTCCGACGACATCACCTGCTTTCCCGGGGCGAAAGATCCCGGCAACCGTCACCTTGTCCGGTGGAAAGCGATCAAATTTCTCATCGCGTATCGGGGCTTGGTGGATACCAACTGCCATTGTTGGAGAGATCACCGTCCACCCACGTGGAAATCGTTGGCCGTCCAACGGTCGAACATCATCGTCGCTGCCGATAACAGCAGCGCAGCAAACAACAGCAGCGAAAACCAACTGGTGAGTCCATTCCAATTTCTTTGCTGAGTGTGGCGTCCGGCGAGGGCGCCACGGAGGACCTTTTTTTGCCGACCATAAGGTCGAAGAGCATATTTTGCTAATATGTGGACAAGTCCAATGATTTAATTGTTGGGTGTAGGCAAATAAATCATGCGCTCGTATCGTCAGATATGGACGCCCACCCAACCCATTAATAAAAGACACCGACAATCCGCAAGTTCAAACACCCTAGCTGGTGTCAGTTAAGCATGTTGGGATTGCGTCTAGGATGCCGATAATTCTTGTTACACTTTGAGGTGGCGTCACAACTCAGGGATGGATCCTACATTGTTGCAATGTTGGACAATAAGTAAGGGTGAGGACCCTGTCCATCAGTGCTATAAATCCCAGATCAGTGCAGTAGGATGCTTCTTTCCTTTATTTAACGTCGCTCTCTGTTCCGCAAACTAGTGCCCATCGACAGACATCGAGTACCATCCATTGACGGCAATCGGCAGCTTCCACACCTGCGTAGGATATCGCACTCATTCAACACACATGGGCCGGGACCAACGGCTTTACTTCCCTTCCGAAGGAAGACGTGACCAGAGATTTTTATACCTCTGAAAAATCCCACCGACCTCTGCTGGTATTGAACCCCAGACCCTTTGGGGTGAGAAAGCAATCACGCTTACCACTACACCACCGGCGCCGGCTGCAGTAGGATGCACTTTAGTAGAATTACTATTACATGATAAATGTTGTCCCTCGGAGACCCACCTTGTCATGCCCACTTTGACACGTTCTGTTCTAAACAGTATTGTAGAGCATACCTTTACGTATCGATTCCTCAACATCGGTGCCTCAACATTGAACCATCCATCGAGCAAAGTGAACTTCTTGATCTCATCTGCCATCGCTGTCATAATATACGGAAAAGTTTGCTTTATTCAAGACTACATATTAATTGATCATCAGGACAATTACTGATTAATTGATTACGAAGATGATTTTCTTTTTCCTCGATTAATTCTCCGTCGATCTTGTTTTTCGTGCTGAGCACCAATAAGACTGTCCACGAGACAGTTGCGATCAGCTGACTGTTTTGTTTACCATGAACTTTTGACAGATCACAGTAGAACCAACCAGTGGAAACTAATGATTTAAAATTGGCCACTACTTGACTAGCCTATGGTTTCAAGCAAATCGATTAACGTACCTCATTCTAGTCAAAATTCTGGTACTACACTATGTTTGTTTTGATTCGCTATGAAAGTTTGACAGATAAAATGAGTGGTTAGTGTTTCGAGGGGTGCATCGATTAGCTTGGAACTGAAGAGAGCATCAGAGCTGAGCCAAAAAGTTGAACACGTTTCTTCGGGACCTTCTAGTCTAAGAGTTGCCTCTATGGTAGAACTGGCAGTTTATTCTCATATGAATTGCTAGTTTACTTGCTAGATTTTTTCTCAGGGCATCCCACAGACATCCGTGATTGAGTCGGTCGAATTTGCTTCCGTAGTCAATGAATACCACATAGAGGGACGGAATCCTGCATGCTGCCGCCGGAGAGTCACGTCGATCTTGTCCTGTATCTGATTCAGGATAATTTTGCACAGAACTTTGAGAACAACACTGTAGCGCGGGTGGCGGCACTGGAATTGTCATCTGATTGAAGACGGTGAACAATCCACTGAGTCCCTTTTATTATTCATAATAATACTTATATACTACCCTTCTCGAATGCTACGCAGTGAACTTGAGCTAAACGAAAGCAACCGTAGAACAAACAACGCCTTGAACTTGAAATAAGTGCCGTTAATGAAACAGCGTTCTACCAACAGTCAATACGAAACTATCGATTTTAAATTGGCTCACTACTTGACTAGCCTATTTGTCCCAAGCAAACGATTAACGTATCCCATTCTTGTCGGAATTCTAGTACTACACTATGTTTGTTTTGATTCGCTATGAAAGTTTGATAGATAAAATAAGGGGTTAGTGGATTATCCTATGTTTCGAGGGGTGAATGGATTAGCTTGGGACCGAAGATAGTACCAGAGCTGAGCCAAAAAGTTGAGCACGTTTCTTCGGGACCTACTAGTCTTAGAGTTACCTTGAGGTGGCATACAAAAAACTAAACAATGTGACGGCCCCATTTAATTGATAACATGGTGCGCGGGTCGTCACAATACACAGTAACATGATGCCTCACCAATTATCACACACAGTCATGGCGAATCATGCCAAGTTGTTGATGGCTGGTTGGACGTCGAAACTTGAAGAAGTTTTTCGAAGTGCTCAAACCAACGTTTCAGCTGGTCAATGAGGTCGGTAAGTAACAGTCCAGTAGCGTTTTTTACTGGCGTCTTCGGATTCATCCTTGCTCCACTCAGTCATCGTGAGATGTCGTAGAGCAGGCGAATATCGCCATTTGTAGCGGTTTTCTCCCCATCGTCAGCCAGGAAGTATACCCACGCTCGCTTGTCCCGCCTGCAAGAGTGTTTGACCATAGAGGTAACTCTAAGACCAGAAGGTCCCGAAGATACGTGCTCAACTTTTTGGCTCAGCTCTGGTACTATCTTCGGTCCCAAGCTAATCGATTCACCCCTCGAAACATAGGAAAATCCACTAACCCCTCTGTTGGATCGCACCATCGGTGCCGGGCTCTACGGCATTTGAATATATAAAGCGTTACCAGTAAAAGCCCCCCCCGCCACGATGGTAGCGATGCGATCCACATTGTTTGTATCATAGTGTTTTGTATGCATTTGTTATTGTTTACATTTTGTATGGTTGTTTTTAGTTGTAAATAATTATTGTGAGTGAGTTTTATTGTTCGGGAATAATATTTAAGGACTCATTTGTTGTAAATAGTTTAAGTTATTCGTTCCTCCTCCGAGCAGGCAGGATGCCTTTCGTAGGCAATAAAACAGTGAACCAAGTGGTAAATAATTGCAGTGTTTTAATTATACTGTGGAAAAGTCTTCGCCTTGCCGATTTCCATCACACTGTAAAAACACAACGTAGGGCCTAGTCGTATCCTGGCCAAACACCCTCATTTTATCTGTCAAACTTTCAAAGCAAATCAAAACAAACATAGTGTAGTACTAGAATTTCGACTCGAATGGGATACGTTAATCGTTTGCTTGGGACCAATAGGCTAGTCAAGTAGTGAGCCAATTTAAAATCGTTAGTTTCGTATTGATTGTTGGTTTGACTTCTTTCTCTTGAGCCGAATACCGTTGTCGGGCTTAATTCTTGGCTTCTCTGGTTCTCACCCACTCTATAGCGGCTTTTGCTTTTCTGCGCTCCTCATTCTTCCGCCAGGTGTCATAAGTGATCCAATGAAGGGAGATGTCTGCCCTTAACGCCGAAAATGTAGTAGGTGAAATGTGTTGAGATGAGAAAAAGTGTGAAATGTCGTCACTTACCCCTTGCTGAAATAAAAACCCCTACTGTGACTTTACGCCGGCCTCAAATTTGTGCTCTTTGAGCACTTCCAGAGTTGTTAATTGAGAGCTTTCTAAGCATTTTCCAATTTTTCATTAGAGTAATTGTGTGGTAAGTACAATTATGGTTCTATACCCAGGGATATCGATAAATTTTTCAACCCGAAAAATTCCTAGACCAGACCAGGAATCGAACACAGACGCTACTGGAGGCTCGTAAGTAAACGGAATAAAAAGTGATAAAGCTAGATGACCGAGCAGTAAATTTGTGCCCTGATCAGTGTCGCCACCTCAGTATTGTCCGGACCCGACCTTGTGAGTTCCGCCTGTCAAGCATGACGTTGTCGACGAAAAGAGGTTGTTGGATAGCCCACCCCATTGGCCCCGTGGCTCTAGACCAGGGACCTTGTACATTGCATGCACGAGAGTAAGGTCTCAGAGAGTAACAGGGATTGATCCCTCTATAACTCGATAATACTATAACTCGATGGTTCCAATATCGAATTGTAGAGAGTTCGCTGTATTTACAACTTTTTTTTTTGTAATCTGCGTTGGACTGTGATATTATATTGCTTATTAGTTGGTTTCCTTTTTTAATTTGCCTTATTATTTCTTACTTTAGTAGAATATTACTTACTACTGTTCTTATCTCTGATTTAACAAATAGGTTTCATCACAATCAATGTTTTCGTATATATTTTAAGTAGAATTATGACTTCAGTTCTGCTTTTATATTCGGCAAGACATTACCCATAGTTTGAAGACTACTCATACAACTACCAATATTGTCTCAATAGTCCTTTTATTCGTCAACTTATCTGATTTTTTTTAAATCTTAGTAAGTATAGTACAATTGAATTTGTGCTGTTCACACTGGGATACGCATAAATTATTACGTTTTTAAATATTCTTTTAAAATAAAGCATTACGGATGTTTTAAGCGCATTGTAAATTGAGAGAAAGATATTAAGCAGCTGCATAGGTTATACATTTGATAGCATCGTTGCATATAACAATAGCAGTCCAATATTTTCATTATTGTATTTTTTTTCTATTAGTATACTGCCGCTATTCGCATAACAGTCCCATGTCCTATGGATTTCCTATCTACATAGGACTGTTATGCGAATAGCGACAGTATACTTCGTGCATTGGATAAACGGCAGTCTTGCTGCTAATGCTTTTGGTCGATGATTATTTCGTCGCCAGATCGAATATTGTAACTGTATAGCCTTTTGTGGGGGTACTTCATCTCTTCCAGTCCCTGTAGGTCGCGCAAATCCTGATCAACATAAAACAGACGCATCTTTGATGCTGGAAGTCCAACGATTCTTTCCAAACGGGTCTTTAGATCCACTACGGTTCTGTATAATGAAGATAAATTTATTGAGTCAATTGTCTTATCTCTTATGTTGTCTATAAACTACAGGATATTAGTATAAGGACAGTTTAAACAGCATATGGCGCCTCCCAATTTAATGAATCGTAGAGATTATAAATCATTTTTGTTTAGATTATGAATCATCATGTAAATGATTAACTCCACATACAGATTTGTATAGCATCCTTGTATATCCAGAGGGGAAAAAACACATTTCCAATTATATCTCCTACGCACATCGGTTCTTTCTTCTGTTGTGCAAATACTGGTTTCCGGATGTTAAATCGCTTCTACACTGTATCAAATTCTGGATTTTACTGGTGATGTAAACGTCCATTAGGTTTGGCACAGTCGGGGTTAACCTCAATCTGATGACAGTTCAGTGGTACTGTTTACGTGGACTTAGTTGATTTTTTCTTGGGTAGATTTTCTCTATTGTTTTTTAAGACTGCAGTGAGATGTAAACCACATGTCTGCATTGTCCACGAGCAACATCCTTTCACCGCGCTGTTCCTCGACAATTTGCAAGTTAAAATTCGGAATTTCCAGAACATTTTTTTTTCGAAAGAAAAAAACGACTAAGTGCTTGTAAACTGTACCACTGAGTTTTTAAAACGGTTCAGCCGATTAACACTGATTTCATTCGTGACGTCACGCTGCAGAATATAATTAGATTTTGTATTTTCTGACCTTAGTTGAAACATACAACAATAAAACATTAATTTTACCTCAAAGTATTTAATGTAATACCGTCCTGATTCATATTTCGAACACTTTAAGCATGTGCTGAAAACGGACATATAATGTATGGTAACACATTATTTAGTTTTATTTCTTCGATACATTACATAAGTATCCTTAAACTAAGCTATCTGCACATTTAGAAATTATTATCGACTTCAGTATTTTTCTACCGAACTTTCAACAGCTGAACGTTCAGTAAAACTTTGACTCTCATTTCTAAAGCTGTTTCACTTAATTTTAATTCCAAAACACTGTCAGCCTTGCATAAATATTCGAGTCTTGCCATTGTGATGAAGTTTTCTTTGTTTTGAAGCCTTAAAGCCTTAAATGCCTGATTTTTTCCGAGCAGTTCAGCTATAGAGGTAACTTTAAGACCAGAAGGTCCCGAAGAAACGAGCTCAAGTTTTTGGCTCAGCTCTGGTACTATCTTCGGTCCCAAGCTAATCTATGCACCCCTCGAAACATATGAAAATCCACTAACCCCTCATTTTATCTGTCAAACTAGAGTCGGTGTATAATGAGTCACGCCAAGAGTGAAGCCAAGTCTATACCTATTGAACTGTAAAACCGGCTACCTATCGTGCAAAGTAAACAAACATTACGATGTTATGAAAGATCCACGAAAGGTATTGCAATAAAATATAAAATATAATCGAAGAAATGATCATAAACACGCAACGAGCATTAAATTGTCATGGGATACGTTTGGTAACGATCAGTAATGAGAATTTCTTTTTTTTTTTTTGTTAAGTTGATTGGAAAAAAAATCACTGATATAATGATTTACAACAGCTGTTATTTTTTTTTTGCTTGCTAGAAGTCATTTGAAGTTGATGTAGCAGTCCTCTTTTGCCAAGTGTAAAGAAAGAGAATCTTTCGAAAACCGTGATGCGAGTTCAACTGGTTTTCTCTTGGCGTGACTCATTATACACCGACTCTATTCCAACCCAGAGTAAAATGCAAATTTTTTGTCAGCCTGCCGTAGATTTAAAAAACTAACGATCAAACTGACGTTTGTCAGAAAACAAGCAGATCAAATCTTGATACCCGTTCCAGGTTGGAACTGAATAATAAACGAATTCACTTCAAGTCTTGAGTACATGCGGTTAAAGTGACGAATCACTTTATCTCAATTATATCCCATAAGCTTTTTAAAGGCTACACGCTTACTTCAGCTTACTCACCGCGTGAGCCGATCGTATACTTAATTTCGTCTGATACATAAGGTTGTCAAAATCTGAGTAAACGATAATTGTCAAACTGAGCAAAAACCACTCAGTCAGCTAAATCCGGGACTTAGAAAAATTGCTAGCCGTGCCTGAGCAAACGCTCTAAGAAACGGCGAAATTATTGTTAACACCGGCCGAAATGTATTAAGGTAAGTAGGAATTGCATGCGGAGACGGTTTTCAGGCGTCATCAGCTCAAGTTAAATGAATCTGGAACAGGTAATTTTCATTTTTTTTATCAAGACAAATAAAAAAAGAAATTTCCCGGCCGAAAATATCACAGAGTGGTTTTGACTCACTGAACGAGAACGTCGTTTACTCAAAAGTGAGTAAAAGTGCGCCTACTCACTTTTGAGTAGCCATACTTCCCGCTGAAATGAGCATGTTCGACTCAATTTGGAGTTGTTGCGAGTTACCGTGTACAAAGTTAATTGGATTATCTCAAATCGACCACTGTTTTCAAGCTATAACATTTTTCGCAATGTAGGAATTACCTACGATATGATTTGCTGTTTTACTCTCAGCTTCCAGCTCGCCATCATGAAAATTTTGTAGAATATGATGATATCAGTAAACTGCTTCACTTCGAATTATTATTTATTCAATTGATAGTCAATTATTTGAAATTGACCAAAATCTGGGTAATTAAGATTTGTTTGTAAATTATTAGAACATTTTCTACACCTTAGCTTCAGCCAGTGTTTATTTTTAATGCTAACCCACAGGGAGAAATGGTGTTTTAATTTTTCGGTATAAAAAAAAAAGAATTTTCTTGTAAAAATCTTAATGATACAATGATAAATTTTAAAGCTCAAGCTTATGTGACTAACTGATGTTGAAAAGTAATCCAAACAGTGGCACAATTCTGCAAAAAAAAATACGGTCAAAATGTTTTTCTCTCTATTAGAGACGATTTTTAAGCAGGTAGTCCTGAAAAAATCCAATTACTTTTATCTCTTTAGGGTTAAGTTGTAGAAACTTGATGTCATCAGTAAAATTTCTTAAAATGCATTGATCTGAAACTTTATCCAAGACATGCACCCATTATCTCGGGACTTTAAAAAGTGAATTTGCATGTGTAATGCTAGCAGAATGATAATTCAGGTTTTTATATCTTAATGATATAGAATAAAAATGTAAGAAACTTCTTCAAAGACACCCAGAATCTATAAGATCAAAAGGAGAGAAAAACCATTTAACTATCTTTGTTCATAATTGTGCCACTGTGCGCTAAAGAGGAGGGTCAGTATCTTAAACTCAAACTACCGTCCCCACGCATCATGTGGGCTAAATGACTAAGGTGAATGCTCTTTTGAGTTTTTTTTATTTATAATGTATATTTTTATAAGCTGAAAAATAGAAGAGAGTATTAAACACGAGTTCCTACCTATATACATCCACAGTGCGCTCTTCGCTTGTCTCTCCGTATGTAAAGGTGATTTTTACTCTTCTTTCTGGCCTTAAATCGATGTTTACCAATGGGTCTAATTTACCGTGCACAGCCACTAATTCAAAGTATCTAAAATTGTTTTGATAATCAAGCCATTTTTTATAAACTTAAAAAATCTCATAAATAAATAAGTACCTCTCGGGTCGATCGCTTTCCGGCTTGTCGAGGTAATATCGAATAAATGATCGTTCTGCATCTTCACGTTCAACGGAACCGATCACGTCCCCTCCGTTCAGTATGTTGATCTTCGGTAGCCTGGCAATCAACAGCTGCCGTCGTTCATGCTCAGTTGAGTCACATTTATCCCACAATGGCCAGCACTGAGATGGATTCGCATTCATTGTGATTAATGTAAATCCAATTATCGTTAGACCCTAATTACCTGCACACGGAGATGTTTCAAGGCAGGAAACCGTGCTAATCGATCGATGTCGTCCCATGAATCGATTTTAGCGTTGCTCAAATTCAGCAGTGTCAAATTCCTGCAGGCCAAAATAGAAAACGTTAGAAATCAATTAATTGATCAACCATGGTGGTAATAATATATGACACGAACTTGAAATGTTCATGGCTTTCCGTTTTTGTAGACTGGGAAGACGTTGAACTGCTTTGCTCCTCTTCGCTGTTATCAGGTGGGCATAGTGAGCTATGAAAACATATCAAATTTCAAAGTGTGAACGAAATCTATCATTACTGTAAACTTACTCAATCGGACAATCCGCTAGCACTAGAGCTTCCAGATTTGGAAACAATCGTCCAACTCTGCATATTTCGCTCCACTCACTGATACGGTTTCCGGTGAGATGCAGTTTCTTGACACCTGGATGCGCCTCGGTTTTCTTGTATAGAGAACTTTCAGAAGCGCTACGCTTTTGACCTCGACTAGATTGGATTTGCTCATGCGGGCATTGACAAGTTGTTTCATCACAGCTCGTTTCGTCAGCTGTTTCAGTTTCGTAACCATCATCCACTATGGTATCAATCAGCACGTGTGTATACTCATTCAAACTAAGATGGAGCTCCTCAAGAACTGGAAGCAATCGTAGTAGGGTCTCGACGCCATACCATTCCAGTTTTGTATTGTTTAGCACCAGGCTGCGGAGTCGATCCATTTTACAAGGGGGCGAAATTTCGATAGGACCACCCAGCCGATTCAGGCTCAGATTAACAAACTCTACACGGGGCATATGTGAAAGTATTCCAAAGACCTAAAATAGCAGAAATTCGATGGTATCATGTATAAATCAACATTGGTTCAATCATACCTCATCCCAATTCTCCAGTTTGTTTTGGGCAAGGTCCAGCTCCTTGACGGTGCAACATTTTCGGCGCAAGTCCTCTGGTTCACCCGCCTTGTCGATATTGCAATCGTTTAGGATTAGTAGCTCTGGTACGCTGTTTTGTAAAGCAAGTATATTCGATATTAAGAGTTATATATTAGACCTGTTCATTTTAACAGAAATGTTCGGGATGCACCGGGTCAACCGTGATTACTGTTCGTTGTGTTAATTTGAACTTCTGTGCAATTTTTCAGCAAAATCGGTGATGATTTAGAGGTGCTTCAAGTTAATTTTATGTTTTTATGTAATTTACGCCTTATAATATTTGTATTTCGAGATTGAAACAACGAAAACTACTGTAACAACTTTCATAGCGAAGCTAATGTGTTATGTACCAACTTTGTGACTAAAGGTGATTTTATTGAAGTTTAACTTAGTTTCATGCTCGAAGATATCTTAAAAGTGAAGAATTTTAAAGTATTTGTTCAACGAACTTTTCTCCCATATGATATAAAAATGTGTAGTCTACGGCATAATGTTTCTTATACTGCTCTAGAAATTTCATTCCAACATAGTTTTCGTGTAGATTCCATAGATTGAGAGATAAAAATCAGAAAAGAGGCCGTTATAGCTAAAATTCACAAGACAACAGAGCCAATCAAAGTTTCAATTAGATTGACAGAACATAGTTGCATTGCTTTTCAATGACAACCGATGACTGTTTCATTGATAGATCTAGAGTAACATTTGAAATGAGCCTATGTCCAAAACATAAACATACCAGAAAATTTTTAAATTTTTCCGCCACTATTCAATTCATATTTAAGAACATTGAAGTATTTTAGGCATTTATATTGTTCACAATAACAATAGTAACGGTATCTCAGTATACAAAATTCAAAATATGCGAAAAGCTTTCAAAAATATATGAAAATCGATAACAATATAATTTCATAAATTAATAAGCCTTTTTGTGAATCTTTTAGTGGATGGGCCCTTTTTGTTAAGCCGTTGTGCTTGCCATCAGAAATGGTACGTCCTTTGCTAAGCCTTTTCACAACGTCAAATAAATTCAAAATAAATCATCTTCCCTGTCTCAAGCAGTAGGACCTAGCTTTGGTTTGAAAATTTTCAATCATCGGCCCTTCTACAATTTAGTTGATTGCTGAATTTATGTATGGGCCCAAATTAGGGGCATTTAGGCCGACATTACATGCATTTCCCCTATATATATATACATATATATCTTACTATATGAATGATTAGTACATAGTTTAGTTATAGTTATTTTAATAAGATTAAATATGTCAAGAGTTCAGCCTATAATTTGAAGTGTAAAATTCATGCAATAATGAGGCTCATAGGTATAAATCATCACAATGTTCAAAGTTAGTATCGTTTTGTAAACCTCACATCGTATTTATAAATAATAAAATTGTTAATTGCTTTCCTTCATGAAAATTCCAGAAAATAATACTTTTTAGCAGATGCGTCTGCTCGTCTGATGCGAAGAGGAGCTGATAAAATCGAGAAAGCACTGTAAGCTAAACCATTTTCATTGCCAGACCAGTTTTCTCTGACATTGGGTTTAAAGGTCTACTGAATGATTCACAGAATGATGACAGAATATCTGTAGAAATTCTTTATGATTTATATAGGTTATTTATACAAGTGTAAGTCCTACATGATATTTCGAAGCTTTCGAATGCATTTACGATACAACAATAGCCTTACTAAATGCGATACGTTCTTACAAAAAACGTGCAAGTCAGCCTGCAGTACTTCAGAATTCCAACTCCAAGACACTTTGAACAACTAAAGGTCTGATTTGGAATCATACAGTAGATAAAAAATTGTTCATCTTGAATTTCAGGCAGCAGGAGCTTTTATTTTGGAGAATCTGAATTACTCTGAAATGTAGGCATTGTAGAACTTCTTTATTACTTTTAATACATCAGGACATTGTATAAGGTTTTGTTGAGCCTGTAGAAAATCAACGTCTAAACTTCAGGATGCTTTGAAGAACCTGAAAGCCCCGTAACGTGGGTAGATCACCTTTTAGTGGTACGTTACGGGATTTAAGATCTACCACTGATTCCTAGTCCTGACTACTTCAAACTAGGGGAACAGGATTTTTCAGTAATCCAAGGAACAGATCTTAGTCCTTGTTACTTTTTATGTCTTTTTGAAAGTGACAAGACTCGGCTTTGTATACCGAGGATGATCTTGAAACAAGGAAAAAAAATGAATTAGTTGTCTTCATCTATGTGATTCCTAATCTTCTATTCGTTGTTCCCTAGTTTGACGTGGTTAAGACTAGGGTTCTGATGCATGGTCATTATCGGTGTCCTTAATTTTGTTGCTAAGGAATCCAATTTTGACTGACAAAGGGGCGCGCCTTTGGAGGGTGTTTCAACACTCCGAAGGGTATAAATAGCGGGACCTTTCAATTAAAGTCGGATCCTTGTGAAAAATGCAAGAGTGGCAACAGTAAAAAAATCGAATACTTCATCATTTCTCAATAGTGATGGAGTAATACCAACAATCAATACGAAACTAACGATTTAAAATTGGCTCACTACTTGACTAGCCTATTGGTCCCAAGCAAACGATTAACGTATCCCATTCTAGTCGAAATGTTTGTTTTGATTCGCTATGAAAGTTTGACAGATAAAATGAGGGGTTATTGGTTTTTCCTATGTTTCGAGGGGTGAATCGATTAGCTTGGGACCGAAGAGGGTACCAGAGCTGAGCCAAAAAGTTGAGCACGTTATTTCGGGACCTTCTAGTCTTAGAGTTACCTCTATGATACAACTATGCTTTAGTTGATTCAAGAAAACTATTGTTAGGAAAGCAAAATTTTACAATGTTTATTAAACGAATTGCTCTTCATTATCGACATATTAAGGAAGTTTGTTTTGCTTCTTTATCGATCTCAAAAAACACAACTGCAAAATCATAAAAAGTGAACAAGAACATTCAACTTAGATTTGAACAGTGTTCATCTGCGTGAGAATCAGCTATCTTATCGCCTGCTCTACGCATCACAAGTTAAAAGTATGTGGATTTATGATGATCGCTTGAAACCAAATTATAAAAATAAATAACATTTGACGGTTGTTATAATTGATTAAAGTTATAGTTGAATTGAGTATAAGATGAACAGTTGAATCTATTAGGTAGATATGATTGAGTTGACGGTCAAATTAATGTTGGAATAACTATAGGTTTCTTTCAAAAAACAATATTTTTCCATGTGAAACTATTAGGATTGTCATCTTAACTTAACGAATTTGTTCTCCGTGCACTGCCAGCCAGATTGATGCGATCCCTCTGTCCTTTTTATTCCACGATTGCTACTGTCAAATCGAACAATCAGAAACTGGCTCGGATTTGACAACAAATTGGCTTGAAATCGCTACCCGATTGCCAAGTCCCGTCTCAGGTCACGTCTTCCTTGAGAAGGGAAGTAAAGTCGTTGGTACCGAGCCCATGTGTGTTGTTGAATGGGTACGATATCCTACGCAGGTGTGGAAACTGCCTCCCTGCACATTCGATTGCCGTCAATGGATGGCAATCGATGTCCCCCAGTGATTGCCACTAGATTGCGGAACAGAGACCGACGTTAAATAAAGGAATGACAAATCAGTACACTTTTCAGCAAACTAATGCTGATGAAACTTCCAATAATTCGAACTTCTGTCAAAATGGCAGGATTTTACTGAATCAAACACTTAAAACCCTATAAGTTTTGCCTTGTTGAATTTTCAATAATCACCGAAGAGATTTCCGGATCAGACATTCATTGCGTTACGATTTTGCTCCATGCCAATAAACCCATTCTAAATCAGGCTCTGATCTTTCTCCCAACATGTGTGCTCATTTGGATGTAACCTCATACTACACTGGCCTTTTGAAGTTTATTTGGGAAGCACTATAGGAAAAAAGTCCTAGCTTTCTTTCCTAATAATCTCCGACCAGATTACCGAATTTACCGGATTTCTTAATTGTAAGGAACTCTCCACATTTTACGTGGACAGTTTTTGAGAGGTTTCAGACTTCGTGGACAATCATCCATACAAATTGTTGAACATTATCGGCGTACACATTCACCAACCCCCCTCTCCCTCTAAACTGTTCACTGTTGGAAAACCCCCAAGTGGTTCCATTTCCTGTTTAGTACATTTTAAATCAGCTCATGGACCTTCTTATATTCTAGTAGGGGTTACCTCGAAAGTTTTGCCCAACAAGAATCACAAAACCGGTATTTATGCTAGACAGCATTGCCGAGCCAATTGATTATTTGACCGCATTTTGGATTTCGCTTTGCGTATGCATTGATATTGTTGATATCTCGATGGGGCCAACATCATCGTGTCTGGTCGAATATACTGCGACCGTATACCTATTGTAGGGTAGGATAGTTTAAAACGCACCCCTGGGGTAAAATGGCCCCGCGTTGTTTTTAATAGATTTCCGATTGTTAATTCGTGAGTTTAACAAGCAGTATTGCTAGTTCCGTACTTGAACTAGAATTGTGACACATATCAATTCCCAGCATTAGTAATGGGAAAGCATCCAAAAACCGCGTGGGGCCATTTGACCCAAGGGTGCATTATGGACTGTTTTCCCCTACTCCATGTTGGTTTGTTGTGTCGTAGCCATGAGAAATATTAACCCTACCAAACAATCGTAGTGTTTTGAGTGCTTGATCATGACAGTATACCTGTACTGTACATATGTACCTACTGTAATTGTATGCTGGTGTGGTTGCGGCGGCTCTCAAAACAGTACGAGCAAAACAAAACGCAAAAACTATGATATAATAGCCGTCTATCATTAGCGGCCCACCAAACGCGATTCGCGAACGAGGTAATTGTGTTAGTGGATCTAGTCGACTATGTACACTATTAGAATCGGCAGCGAGCTGAGCCAATCCTCGTCGAATGGTCGCATTCTTTATCCGCTAATGATTTCACTTTTTTACACGTTCGTACCAATACAGTGCGCTATGAAATACATTCTGTCGTTCTTTTTTTGTGATATTGTAAGGTCATTTAATGGTATATTTATTTTTGTTAGTTAGTTCAAGGTTGTCATATGTTCCGAAGGAAATAGCATTCATTATGGCTTACCTCAACCTAGGTGGCAATTTGGGCACAAATATCGATACGAGCGTCTCGTCCAATTTGGCTTTCTGGGCTCCGAGACCGTATTTTTCTTCCAAGGCTTCCAGTAGAGTCGGCATTTTTGCTGTAAAAAGAAGAACGACCGAAAAAATTGTTTGAAATTGAATTAACTGTGACGAATGGTCAGCTCATTTAGACAGAGACATACTGCCTTGAAATCAAACATTGGAGACCTTCAGCATGAATGATTTTGCGGTTTCTATGCGAACATGCTATAGTCGCCAGATTGAAGTTTTTCTGTAGATTATTGCTGCCTGGCTGAATTTTCCTAAAGCAAAACAGTATGCACATCAATTAATGTTCAATACGAATTTAATTTTCTCAGTTACAACTTTGCTGAAGACCACTTTTAGATTGATTGGTCAAGTTTGAGATCGATTTCATAATACACCTTACCTTAGTATACATGAATGGCTATGGAAATGCAATATTAATTCGATTAAATGCTCCATAAACCTGCTTCTTTACTGCGGAGCTTCTAAGATTTACTATCCTGCCAGTGTTAGTCAGAGGAGTGGAGCAACGGTAAGCGTCTAGAAACGAGCTTCCATAAGAAGCTTCTTTCTTTTTTTTTTTCCTAGGGTTTGTTTTTTCCGTCGATCTTGTTTTCCGTGCTGAGCACCAATGCTACCGACGTGCCAGGAAATCAGCTCCCACACCTGGACCCTACCTATCGACCCATCAACTCATGAACCGGGGACCAACGGCTTTACTTCCCATCCGAAGGAAGGCGTGATCAGAGATGCCTCAGAACATCCCGGCGGCGCCGACTTAGAAGCTTCTTTCAGAATCTTCTATCGAAGCTTCGTTTAGAAGCTTATCCTAGACGCTTGACGCTTGGCATCGCTTGGCAAATATCGATTATGCTCCATCCAGCTATATCGATTCCAAATCAGGCCCTGATAATTTTCCCAAAATTTGAGGTCATATGGATGTGAACTCATACTGCACTGGCATAGGCAATTTTCTCAAGCCTTCCATACATTTTGCCTAAAAGATTTTTTTTTCTGATATTATCGAATAATCAGATATTATGATAATATTTTGTTTGTGTAAGCAACAAGAAAAGTTTGTGAAGTTTGTATTTGACTAATACCTGCCGATTTTGCTACGTGAGAGTCGCAATAAGCGATTTTGTCATTTATCTCACCCACTCTTCGCTCTTCACGCTTCGCGAAGAGGCGATCAGAGAATCGCTTATTGTGACTCTGTCAAAGCTAAATTTGCAGGTTTTATTTGTCCAATTGTTTTATTATTTACACATACAAAATATCATCATAACAGCTTATGATCCCATAATTATATACATAGGGGAAATGACGGCTTCGGCATGACAAACTATTTTCGGCAACACAAATTGAAACACTATTTTCACTGGATTTTCTTACGAAAACACTTCGCTGAATGCATGCAAACGATTCTTTATGCTTTCAGCTTCACTTTGACTATATTTTTACCACTGAGAAAATGCAATCTAGCAAGGTTTTCTTGAAATGCAACACACGCACTACAAATTGTAGCTGATTTCGAGTTGCCGATAATAGAACAGCAGATTTACATGCAGTTCAAATGGAACGGTTGCCGAAGAAAAACTGATTGCCGACAATACTCGCTCTCACTAGAGAAGATTGGAGCTATGTAAAAGCGTTTCAAAACAGTTTTTGACAATTCTTTCGACTGAAATTGTTAGAGCAGCTGGCAGCAAAAGATTGTAAACAAACCAATACTGCATATGTGTGCGTTCCTTAGAGAAAAAGGCTATAGAAAGAAGGTCGCTGCTAAGGTTGCCGAGAATACGTAAATTCCCCTACAACATTATTTAAGTCAAAATGAATGGGATGCACCCTGTTCTCAGGTGTACCCAAATGAACTAACATTTCTTGGGATAATGATCATAACCTGATTTAGAAGCGATTCATTTGGGTGAGGGATAATCGAAATTTTGAACCACCCTGGATTCATAGTTACAGCTTAATATAGAGCTTTTAAGTTATACGCCCATATTCTCGTTTTCGTTCGAACCGTATTTTCCATACAAAAAAAAGTTACTTCTAAACAATATGACATCCGACAAAAAGTTGTAGCACAAATATAAGTTTCTCAAGGAAAAATATACAAAGAAATACTTTTTTGTTAATTTGAGGAAAAATCCAAAATAGTGATATATTTTTTTCCAAAAATTCTTGTTCTACGATTTGTGTTAATTTTGAAGTATCCAAGGTTTTAAATATTTCAATAGTTTGTATTTTTATGAGCTTTAAAAAAATATCATAAATATTCAAAAAGGACATTTTTTATGTTTTTAACACTTTTTTCGATTTTATTTCTCAAAATAAATAAAAATGTTGAGTAAAGTTTACTCAAGGAAAAGGACACACATGGTTTTTCAAGTTCCGTATCTTTGGAAAATTCTGGGATCCCTTAAATATGCGCCTTCTCAGCAATCAAAATAAATCTTCTTAGTGACAAAAACATGCGATGATACTGATACTGGTCTCAACCTTTTCTTATTTACAATTTCAAAAGCGAGATTAATAACCGTCAACAAGAAGAGCTTAGGGCCAGAATGTGATGTGGTACATCTTACATCCCGTAACGTACCTCGAAAAGGTGATCTACCCATGTTTACGATTCATGGATAGTGATTTATTCACGGATATTTGGTTTTAATAAGAACTACATCATCGACTCACCAGTGCTCAATAACTATTTCTCTGAGTTCCCAGAATTAGCAGCCAAAAATAATAAAAAAAAACTAGTTGCCATTGGTCCCCCACTACTACGGTGCTGACAAAAACTACTTTACATTGTTAAACCTCTTTTCCTTGACGAAGAGCAACTGAATATTTGATGAAAATGAGTTTCTTACGATTTTTGTAGAGTAGTAGAGAACCTTCGCAAAATTCCAAATTGAACTATGTTAAAGTGATCCGATGAACCATTAAACATATCCGGATCACCCATATAAATGAACCGGTTCTGAATCGTTCACCTAAGTGATCCGTTTTTCTCATCTATAATTTCAATCAATCAAATAAATTAAAAACTCAAAAAGTACATATCAAGTTATCCATGTTACAGTATTAAGTTTGAGCAACAATACAGCAATTTCCACAGCACGAAAGGAAACGTGGTTCAAGATTGGTTCATCGCCAGGGCATATTTTATTTGTTTGCCGGAGGTGGATGATAATTGCAAAAGTTGTCTCACCTCGAAAAGCATTTACTAACGTAAATGCAGCAGTGAACCGTACTAATCTTACATGCGAAAAAAGCAACATGGAGGTGGCCGAAAAAGTCTGTGAAACATTGCTGCTGCGCTCTGATGTGAATTGGCGCGCGGTGGTACGATCGTTTTTGCTGTTATTTTTCATTTTATAGTGATTGTGAGCTTTTCATGTACAATTGCGCGCTAACCTTGAACAACGGAACGAGAGGAACATAGTGCGTTGTCTGTTTGCTGTTGCAGGTTCCTTTCAGTTTGGCTTTTATTTACAAACTTTGGTCGATCACTTTGTGTGTATGCGCAATGAAGCTGATTACTATACTACTCTTTGCCCAGCGATCGTCTGGGTTAGCCTTTATTTATTGATCAATATACTCCTAGAACCTAGATGCCTTATCATGATTTCAAATATATTCGGGACCTGACAGGTCAAACAAGACACCTCTCATGTCAAAATAATCTTATGCGAAAATGTTCAGCAAAATCAATGAAGGGGCTTAAAGAAAGAAAAAAAAAAAACATTTTTTGATCGTATGTGTATTCTACTAAGAAACCAATTTATTACTTTCTGATGGTTATAGTTAATTTAATATGATGTTTGGGTTATTTCAGGCTTAAAACTACTGTATATACTAGGGGCTGAACCAGGAGGCAGGTCACCTTGGCTGAATATATCAACATATTTTTTGATATGTTCCCTTTCTTGACTAAGGCTTAAAACCAAAAATATCCATAGAAAAAAAAAATTGAATAAAAGCTCGATCTTTTACATGAACTAGTTTATGAAAAAAAAAACTTAAGGGGTCATGTCTACCTGCAGATATTCAATAAATGATTTTTTTTTAATGGTACAAATCGAAGGTTTATAAATTTAAGATTATTTTCCCAAAATTTCAAGATGATACAATACAAATTGACGAGTTATGCGACTTAGCGGAGTCCCATGTCCATGACATTGTTAATAAAACATAAAACTTTAGACGCAATTATCTCTAAAGCTCATTTTCAAAGTAGATTAATGTATTTTTATCAAACATTGTTTCAGAAATATGGAAGATCCACATTTTTTTAAATGTTTGAAATATTAATCACTTAGTTAAGCAGTATTAAGGGGCTGTCCAGGCATGGAAAATCATTTGCATTCATTTCGTGAATTCATTTACATTCATTTGCCCCTAACTTTTTTCATCAACAGAATTCCGCAAAATAGTCTATGAAACATTAGTAGGTTTTATTATTAGCTACAACTTTTAGTAGCAACTTAAATCCGTATCTCTTATGTATGACGAATTAGAGCGAACAGAAGTCACTACTGTTTTTCAGTGAATGTATTTTACATTCACTGAAAAACTGTAACAACTTCTGCCCGTTCTAATTCGTGATGCATAAGAGATACAGATTTGCGTAATGAGCAAAAGTTGTAGCTAATAACAAAACCTACAAAAGCTCTGTACATCTTTTTGCGGAATACTGTTGATGAAAAAAGTTAGAGGCAAATGAATGTAAATAATTGCATGAAATGAATGTAAATGATTTTCTATGCCTGGGGCTGTCCATATACTAAGTGGACAGTTTAGGGTGAGGGCGGGCAAATGGCAAATTTCCAAAAATACAAATTTTTGAAAATTTATAATGGTGATTGTCCACGCGTGGGAGTGGGGGTCTAAAACAGCTCAAAACATGTCCTCGTGGTATATAGACGGTCATTAGATGTTATGATGATATTTTGTACGTGCAAGAGTTACAAGAAGAGGTTGTAAAGTATGTGTTTGTCAGATACAACCTGTCAATTTTGCTTTCAGAGAGTTAAAATCATCGATTTCGTGATTCACTCACAGT